GGATCTACGCTATTAACCTCTTTCTTTATAGGGTGTAGAGAATAAAGTCAAAGTTCTTTTACCAGAATTCCGGAGCATGGAGTTCCAAAAATCACAAAATCTAATACAAAATAGAGTCATATATATTTACTGTGAGACCTTGCTCTGCACGACATCTAATGCACAGGCACTTCAATCACTGTAGCAATTTCCTTTTATCTGCAGACATATTTCCTTCTATTTTACTGTTACACAAGGCACATGTTCTTTTCAGTTAATGAGAAACACCAAGTATATTGCAACCATGGCCTTACACAGGCTTTACTTACATTGTGAAAACAGTACTCAAAGTAAGGTTATTGGAGAAACTCATTGATTTCAAGAAGAATGGTCATTTTCTAGCAGGTGGCTAGTTCGCATAGGGTTTGAAATAATACCCTTACAATCATTTACAAATCGATGCATGGCCTATTTAAATAAACAGTTCTTATTGTAAATACATCATTCTTATGCATAGTAATCCTCAATGACCAGCCAGTGAATTCTGGTGTATTGTGGCTGATAAAATATTTTAAAAGGACTAAACTCACAAGCTGAACTCCAGACAAACTCAAGGCTTCTCACAGTGAGAACTAGAAGCTTCAGCAAGTCAGACAGAACCCACCTTATTTCTTGGATGGAAGACATCAATCATCACTTATCTCTTTCTTCCCCAGTCTGATTGTTTGTGGTTTCAGTTCTTTCAATCAGGATGGCTCACAAGAAAATGGTATCTGTTTAACATACTAAAAATCACCTGCGCTATAGCACTGTGTATGTAATCCTAATGGTAGCTGCTGTAATAAAGTGTACAAACACCGCAAAAATAGTATGAACTCCCAACAATATTAGGGAACAGTGCTTCCTTATTGCCTTAGTAAACTGGCATTTTACAAGCGTTAAAAATGTTCCCCAAACACCATATGTGCAGTTTTGAAGCGTTTTCTAAGCATCTGACAAGCGTTAAAACCACACCACAATCTAAATAAATTGTAATGTTTTTAACGCTCCACAACCGCACCGCAAATGCCTCGCAAACGCCTGCCGGTGCGTTTGAGGAGCATCACCACAGACTTAAATGGGAGGCGTTGAAAGGCTTCCAACATCTCCTGACTAAACATGAGGCTTCAATTTTGACGCAACTTGATGCTAACGCTTCATGTTTTGATAATGTGAAAAGCACTGTGTGTGCCCATAGTATCATTTGCATAGGCATTTTAGAAGCGTAAAAAAATGCCCCTCAAATGCCTGCTTTCAAAGCCAATATGAACTAGGCTTTAGTATAGCTCAGATTGTATCCACCAGGTTAAAAAAAAGAAAGGAGTGGGAGGAGAATCTCAAATAGTGAAAATACAATACTGCTTTAATAAAAGAAGGGATAAAAAGTATTGCACTTATATGATAGGGAACATCAATAGACGTTTTTTAACCACTTGCCATCCGCCTGCTGTTTATAAAAGGCAGGATGGTGGCACTCCAGGGGCGGGTTGCCCATCATAAACAGAACCCACCATTTCTAGCTGTGCACGCTCCCAGTGAAACACTGATCATCGGACAGGACCTCTGTACAAGGTCCCGATCATGTGATCGCTGATTGGTCAATCAGTGATCACATGCAAAGTAGTAAGCAAGATGTCACTAGTGACATCATTGCTTACTACATTTGAAATCTGTGAATGATCACAGAGGTGACATGGTACAAGGTTATTCACAACAGCCTTGTACCATCTGACAAGCTGTGACCAATCACAGCTCACTCAGTAGTTCTCAATGGCTGCAAGAATGCAGACAGAGAGAAAGAGAAATTATTGCTTTTACATCCTATATGGGTGTAAAAGCAATCACTGTAAAAGAAAAAATAAATCTTCATCAACCCCCACAAGTAGTACAGTGTCACCATGGTGACGCTGTACTGCTAGGGTGACGGTATGTAAAAAAAAACAAAAACATAAATAATAATATGAAAAAATTAAATAAAAATGTAAAAAAAGTGTTTAAAAATGATAATTTTTGGTTATAAACTAATTTGGCTTATTTTGTTTTTTACTAAAAAGATAACGGAATACATTTCGGCAAGATTTATGATGAAAGATTATTTATTTGCAAAATTTTATAAGAAAAACACTTTTTTTCTAAATTTTTGGACGTTTTCATTAACACAGCAAAAAAAAATTAAAATCCCAGCGGTGAATAAATACCACCAAAATAAAGCTTTATCTGTCTCAAAAAATGGTAAAAAATTCATATGGGTGCAGTGTTGCATGACCGCGCAATTGTCATTCAAGTGTGATAGTGCTGAAAGCTGAAAATTGGCCTGGACAGGAAGGGGGTAAAAGTGTCCGAACAGGAAGTGGTTAAAACCCAGAAGCACCTATACCAATATGGTCACTTTGTGCTCCAAGTAGTGGATATGAAATCACCCAGAAGTCCCATCCTTCCTGTCAGATTGGACATTTTTGTTTGCTTTATGGGTTTATGTAACAGTCAAAAGAGCTTTACTCTGTTCCAGCATTACAATTATTAACCTAAATACACACAAGAGGGATGTGGAGCTCAAAAGGTGCTAATATTTCCACAGATGTATTACAGAACATTAAAATGATAGAAACACCAGATTGTAATACAATGATATTGGTAATAAATCAATCTATTAAATAGATCCTCAAACCCGTTTACCCACACTCCGTCCTACAAGAGCTTAAGATTATTATACCATCATGTTAGGGAAGCCATATAACACTTGTTCAAATTGAGGCTTGGTTTTGGAGCTTACCTTTCTGTCAATTTGTTTCTATTACACTGTTCAACAGGTAAAAAGTTTTGGGCATAAAATTAGCTAATCTTACATAATTTTGGGGTGCTGAAAACGAAAATGACCCTAAAAAATGTTGATTGGCTCTAGTTTCCATGATATATTCACCCATCTAATGACGTAAGCCATTCAAAATTATGATGCAACTTCAGCTGCATATTGCGCAATTGATACTGGTGACCAATAGAAAATTGCATGTATACTGAGATGATGCAATATTAGCCTTTAATTGCATCACTTCACTGCATAAAAGCTGCAGTATCTGTAGCTGATTGTAGTTCCACAGCGTCTTTACATTTCGTTTTATGCTTATATAGGCTACTCAGTAATGCCTCGAACTTGTGTGAATAAAGCAGATAATTTCTGCTATATCTGCGGTGAAATAACTTTTATCTCACAAAAAAGGAGGATAACAGGAATGATTAAGAAAGCCTACAACTTGTATTTTGGCTGCAAGATAGGAGACCAGGACAAGAGCTGGGCACCACATATATGCTGCAATTCTTGTGGGACGGCACTGGAGCAATGGTTGAATGGAAAAAAGGCATCTATGCCTTTCGCTGTGCCAATGATTTGGAGAGAGCCAACAGATCATGTTAGTAATTGTTACTTTTGTATGGTGCCTCCAATTGTAAAAGGGCTAAATAAGAAGAAAAAGTTATCTGTGCACTATCCAAATATTCCATCGGCAATACGTCCAGTTCCTCATGGAGAGGGGCTACCAATTCCTAAAGCACCAGAATCCTTCGTGGTTGAGTCAAGTGAGGAAGAACCTGAAGCGTGTAGTCACGTGCAGTTGTAAGAGATAGCCCTTTCCTCGAATACAAGAGAAAAGCCAAGAGAAGCAAAACCGACACAAACTGAAGACAAAACTAGTGAGAATCCTAAGTATTAAAATGATTCAACTTAGCTTATGGCTATAATTTTTCTTGGTAATCCTATGCAATATATTATGCCATTTAGGCTTTGTTATGTAGTCAATATCACTTGCTTTATATTTGTGGAAAGACATCTATCTATATAATTATTGTGCATTATGTAGTCATTACGCCTATAGTAGAAAACTTTCCGTTTACAGAAAAACTAGAGCCAATTGACAAATTTCATTGTTATATTTGAACTCAGAATGTGAAATTCATTAAGAAATGGATCCTTTTGTTTCCAAAACTGGCAAAAAATAAAAATTTGTTGAACAGTGTTATTAATGACCCTTCTGTGAGTATTAGAAGTATTTGAGCTGAGCCCAATATGGCTACTGGTTCAAAACAACAGATCCTTGGAGTAGAGAGACTAACATGGTGACTCATTATGGTGTCTGTGTCCCAAAAGATGCCATCTAAGACAAAACATCTAAGACAAAACATGTTAGGCACTGCCCATTGTGAAGTCACCACATTCACCGGAAGGAAAAACAAAAGTAAACTTCACCGGAAATCCTCTCCTCCACAGTTGTTCTAGAAGCTCCAAGAAGGTGTTCTTGCTTTCGGAACGCCTTTGGAGGAAAGGATGTAGACAGGACTATTTAGGGTCCTTGATGTCTTCAGTGGCCCATAATTACATGATTACTCTCAATATTTGGAGCATTTCTGCTATCTATAGTCTCTGGTGTTCATTGCCGTTTTTCATGTACAAGGTGCTATTTTAAAACATATATAAAAATCCTCCTGCGCTAGTAAAGGAAGTGAACCCTACTATATAGCTGCCAACACTCTAAACTGATACCCAAACAGTGTATACAAATTATAGTAAAAGTAGTGTAGCGCTCAGGGGCGGACTGACCATTTGGAAACTCGGGCACTGCCCGAGGGCCCGGGGTCAGCAGGGGGCCCCATGAGATGCCCCTGGTACCTTTTTCAGAGGCTTTTTTGAGTTTGGCCAAGGACACAGGGGCCCCATGATCCCCTATTGCCCGGGGGCCCCATGAGTTGTCAGTCCGCCCCTGGTAGCGCTTCTTTATAAATATTAAATAAATGTATTTAATATTTATAAAGAAGCGCTACACTATTTTTACTTTAAGGTACTATTTTAACCATCTCCCACCCGCCATATAGTAATATGATGGACGCAAGGTGGTTCTCTCGTTCTGGGAGGACATCATATGACGTCCTCCCATTCTAACCGCGCATGCGCGACTCCCGGAGCGTGCAGCGCAGCGATCGGCGGTGCGCTGTGTTCCTTGGACACAGCGGATCACCGATCCACGGAAAGAGAGGAAGATGTCGGCTCGGTCATGTGATCAGCTGTGCCCAATCACAGATGATCACATGTAAACAGGGAAATGCCGTTTATAGGCATTTCCCTCCTCACGAGCTGTCACACTGACAACTTGAGAGGAGAGGCGGTAATCGGCATTCCGCGAAGGGGACATGTACACTGATCATCAGAGCACTGATGATCAGTGTGCCCTGATGATCAGTGTAGCCCCAGCAGTGCCACCTGTCAGTGTCCATCAGTGCCAGTTGTCAGTGCTCATCAGTGCCACGTGCCAGTGCCCATCAGTGCCACATCAATGCCACATATCAGTGCCTACCAGTGCACATCAATGCCACATATCAGTGCCCATCTGAGCTGCCTTTCAGTGGCACCCATCAGTGCCAGTCAGTGCCACCTATCAATGCCAATCAGTGCCACCTATCAGTGCCAGTCAGTGCCACCTATCAGTGCCAGTCAGTACCGCCTATCAGTGCTGCCTATCAGTGCCAGTCAGTGCCACCTAACAATGCCAGTCAGTGCCACCTAACAGTGCCAGTCAGTGCCGCCTATCAGTGCCAGTCAGTGCTGCCTATCAGTGCCATATATCAGTGCCATATACCAGTGCTGCCTTTCAGTGCCCATCAGTGATGCCTGTCAATCAGGGGTGTATTTACCACAAGGCAAACAAGGCATTTGCCTAGGATGGTATTTTTTTGGGGGGGCAGCACAGCCGCTTGGATGAAGGGACAGAAGAAGGGACACACGTGGCATGGGGACCTGGTGGGTTCCAAGAGATGCTGTGGGTTTCATGACGGTGTATGCACAGCCTGATTCTCATTCCTGGTGATGTCCGGAGCTGTGAAAGTGAGTGTCTTTCTCTCTCTCGCCATGGGGGATGGTTGCTGGTGTATGGGGGGCAGTGGTAGTGGAAGGCTTGGATGGAGGGAAGGCGTGTTCTTGGTCAATGGCAGGCTCTTTCTGCTGGGGGGCTCCACTTTTGTATTGCCTAGGGCAGCACAAAACCTAAATACAGCACTGCTGTCAATACCCATCAGTGCCACCTACCAGTGCCTCCTCATCAGTGCCCATAAGTGCCACCTATCGGTGTCCATCAGTGCAGCCTATCAGTGCCCACCACTGCAGCCTCATTAGTGCATATCAGTGAAGGAGAAAAATCACTTATTTACAAAATTTTATAACAAAAACTAAGAAACAAAATTTTTTTTCAAAATTTTTAGTGGTTTTTGGTTTGTTTAAGAAAAAATAAAAAACCCAGAGTTGATTAAATACCACCAAAATAAAGCTCTGTCACAAAACAATTATAAAAATGTCATATGGGTACAGTGTTGCATGACCAGGTAATTGTCATTCAAAGTGCAACAGCGCTGAAAGCTGGAAATTGGCCTGGGCAGAAAGGGGGTATAAGTGCACTGTAAGCTTATGGTTAAGATAAGCCTGACCATAACAGCATATGTGATCACTATGTACACCCCTTACTGTTTATTTCACCTATGGTCCTGATAAAGCATACTATTGCATGGAGCACAATGACCTCTATCATTAGGTGAAATGTAATATAAAAGCAGTACAAAGCCATTAATAGCCTTTTAAAATTAATAGCATTTGAAAAATAAGGTGTCAACTTGAAGGCACAAACAAATTTTTATCTTATGTTACATATGTAGATTCATACGGTATATGTTGTTTTTTTGTATCACTTAAAGAAACGTTGTCTTTTTGTAATTCTGTATGAATTGTCTATTCCCTGGAGTATTGTAATGAAAAGTCACCTGTGAAAGTATAGTACAGTGCTCTTGTGAATACTAGCGGATGTCAGTGCTCCTGTACTGTGTGCTGCAGGACCCGTTTATTACAGCTGACAGGTACACTTTGCAACATTCCTACCTCATTTCCCTAACACCTGACAAAACCCCAAATTATAGATTGAGAGGCAACTAGACAGCTGGAAACAAAACAAGAATATTGTCAGCTGGAAGGAAAAACTCTTCACTGGTCAATCACCTGTTCTATTCTGAATAGAATCTGAGAAGCAGAAACACATGCTATCTTTTCCCCACCAGAGAACTCCCTGTCGCAGTCATACAGGGGAACTCATTTTCAGAAGTTTTTGTTTATTTATTTTGCATTACAGAAAATACACCTGGAAGAGTGAGATTGCCATTTTGGCACACTAAGGGCAGATTACAGAACATGGCAGTGCTGTTTTTCTGTTCAAGTTCCCAGTCGATTAGACAGCACCCTGCCAATACTGCAGTAGTAGCTCGTGTGTTTAGCATAAGGTTAAGCTGCTGTCAGACTTCAAGTGACATGTGACACTCAGACTTCCAGGATCAAAAGTCTGATTTGGAAAATTATGTAAAGCTAAATAATAGGTAACTTGCACAGTTATAACGCATTTTGACTTTATAGCCTGATTCTTGCATACGTTCTCCTTTAGCTGGTATTATCTCCAGTAAAACACGTCCTTGGACAATGCAATAACTATAGAGTATATTGGAATTCCTGCAGGGCCTAATTAGTGCTCCCCCCACAACACCTGCTTGTTTTAACCTCTTATTTACAGCAACCTGTCTCATAATATTAAATCAAGAGAGAAAAGCTTAATAGGTCTCCAGGTTCCAGCCTTGATGCTGTACTTTCTGTAACACACAAGGAGGGAAAACAACAATAGGGATTCATCAGTGATTTTTCTTCCTTAAACTACTAGTGCCTCATGAGATTTCATTTACAGATGGCTCCCTTCACAGCCTGTATTAATTACCCTTGTGCTTCTATTACACGACTTACTTTTAAAAGGGCAATTACAAGCTTTGTAGTCTTGTTACACTAAGAATACAAGTAATAAATCTAATGATGAATTTACTTATGGCACTTTTTTTTTTTTTCTAAATAATTTTTCTGAGCAAGTAAGCTGTCTGCCTACACTGCCCTTTGGAAGTCTAACTGCGGCTTTGAACATTGGGGACTTATTACATTGTCTGGATAATATTAACTCTGAGACTAGGCTGTCAGTTACTAAAATCCGGTAAAGATACGATATCCAGCAGACCATTCAGATTCACACTCACCTTCTGACCTGACAAACAGCATCATCCCATCTCTCACTGTTTTACTCCTTTAAACCTTGTCACTTGTTTTCTCTCCTCGTTTTATGCAGCTTAGGGACTGCTATCTATCTGTCTCTCCAGAAAGCATTTTTTTTTACGTGCTCAAATATCAACAACTTTCTGTTTTCACACTTCATACTGTCACATTTGTATTCCTCAGTCATCTTATGGTTGGTGCTGTGTTTCAAGGACTTTGCAGAAAAAAAAACTGGCAGCAAATACTTATGATGGCAGTTAAAGTTAATCTCAAATAACAATGTCTCTGGATTATATAGGTTTTCACTAAAAGATTATTTTCAAGGGCTTACTAGTAAAGATAAGACTTGTTTTGTTTACTGGATATAACTTTTAAAGCCTACCAAGCAATTCTATATCATCTCTTGGGAACAAAAAAGCCTAAAGTATAAAATATCTTAATGGCGTAGCTGTGGAAGTATTGCTTTAGGCAGAGGTGTTACTAAAAGCTACAGGACCTTTGTGCAAAATTTAAACTGAGGCATCTTATATCTTCTATAACATATATCATATCAAAAACCATTGACAGTCTTGTTCTAGCCTTGAGGTGTTAGGTTTTAATAATACTGGGTAAAATTGAAACTTTTTTCAATTCAATAGGTATACTGCAGCAGGTGACAATACAGATACGGAAAATAGGGATATGAACAAAAAAATGAATGTTTCTCTAATATGTATAGAGCAAAACAAGAGCACATAGCTGAAAAATGATGTAATTTCAGCATATGTAATTTGACCCCTAGACATCAAGGATCCAGAGTCAGGAGTCCAATATGCACACTTTGAGCTAAAGATGGAGAAACCATCTTCTTCATTCTATACAGTGGCCTAGGAACAAAAAGGGGTGTCCGTTTTGGGAGCATAATTTAAAATGACATGGTACTGGTGCAAAATATGATTGACTTGCTAAACCCCTGGGATGACAATGTATTATAAAATGGGACACCGTAAACTATAGATCTGAGTTTCAAGCCACAGACAACAGAAAGAAGAAATAATGTGAAGAGAATTGAATTTATGTTTATTTTCTGTGCAGCCTGCAATGGAAGTACAAAGTTGCTAGCTATGGCAGAATGGTACATATACTTGAGTCTTAACCACATCCTGCCTGGCCTAAAGCAATTTGATGAGGGGGACCTTTGCCATTCAGGGTGGATGTTGTATGATGTCCTCCTGGAACGATCATGTGAGCGATGTGCTATGGGCATGATCTGTCCACCAGACACATCCAGTGACTGATCAGTGACCAATCACAGCAGATCACATGGCAATTGTAAACAATGATTGGCTTCCTTTCATGCCATTCATTGTTACAATTATGTTGCTTGCTGTGCTTGGTCACAGTGATCACTTGGTACAGACAGGGCCAATAACAGCCCATCTGTGTCATGTGATTAGCTGTGGCCAATCACAGCTAATCACAGCAAAACAAACTGAATGAATCAATTTTACTCAGTAAAGTGCTTGCAAGCAATCATAATGTCCCCCCTCATCAAATTGCTTTAGGCTGGGCAGGATGTGGTTAAGGCTCAAGTATATGTACCATTCTACCATAGCTAGCAACTGTTACATAGTTACATAGTTAGTCTGGCTGAAAAAAGACAAAAGTTCAACCATTAAAAAAATATATATATTTATAATCCTATACCCACAGTTGATACAGAGGAAGGCAAAACCTCCAGCAAAGCATGATCAAATTTGCTCCTGCTGGGAAAAAAAAATCCTTCCTGATCCCCTGAGAGGCAATCAGATATTTCCTGGATCAATTTTACCTATAAATGTTAATATCCAGTTATATTCTGTGTAACTAAGAAAGAATCCAGGCCTTTTTTGAAGCAATCCACTGAGCTGGCCAGAACCAACTCTTGAGGGAGTCTATTCCACATTTTCACAGCTCTCACTGTGTAGAAACCTTTCCATGTTTGGAGATTTAATTTCTTTTCCTCCAGACATAAAGAGTGCCCCCTTGTCCTGTATGATGACCTCAGGGTGAATAGCTCTACACCGAGTTCACTATACTGTATGAACCGCTGATGTATTTATACATGTTGATCATATCCCCCCTTAATCTCCTCTTCTCAAGAGATAATACATTCAGTTCCTCTAATCTTTCCTCATAGCTGATCTCCTCCATGCCTCTTATCAGTTTGGTTGCCCTTCTCTGTACTTTCTCCAGTTCCCCAATGTTCTTTTTGTGAATTGGTGCCCAAAACTGAACTGCATATTCCAGATGAGGTCTTACTAATGATTTGTACAGG